AATGCACAGGGGTTACTCCTGGCTCTGCACTCAGGAATTACCTGGCGGTGCTCAGGGGACCATATGGGAAGCTGGGAATCGAACCTGGGTCAGCCACATGCAAGGCAAACACCCTACCCGCTGAGCTATCACTCCAGCCCTGACTCCAGCCCTTTTGGACTCAAGGTTAACAAAATGAATGTTCTAGAGATGTGGCACATGGCAGATAACAGGGCTTACATGTGTAAAGCCCTGTTCTTGATCCCAATACTTAAAAACAAACAAAAAGCTCCAAAAGAATAAAGAGAAACTCCTCCATCTTTTGTTCTTAATTCATATGGTTTTTGTTTTTTGGACCACACCTAGTGGTAGCTCAGGCATCACTCCTCCTAGCACTGAGGATCAGATGCAGTGCCAGGGCTGAAACCGGGTTGGCTGCATGTATGGCAAGGGTCTTGTACTAGCTCTCTTGACCCGAATTTTTTGTTTTATTTTGTTTGGGGTGTATGGTTTGGGCCTCACCTGGCGGTGCTTGGAGCTTACTCCTGGCTCTACACTCTGGGATCACTGTGGCGGTGTTCAGGGGAGCATATGGAATGCTAGGGTTGAAACCACAGTTGGAAAGGCAAGCTGCCTGCTGTACCATCATTCTGGCCATCTTGAGCCCTGGTTTTAACTTGTAAGCAAGGCATTGGGGCCACACCAGATAGAGCTCAGGGACTATACTTTGCCCTGTGCTCAGTAATAACCATTAGTGGTGCTGGGGATTTCAAGGATCGACCACATGCATGGTAAATGTCTCAATCCCTCTCCTATCTTGCCAGGCCTCACACCTGGCAGTGCTCAGGAGACCATATGCAAGATTTGAAACAAGGGTCAATTACATGCAACACTAGTGCCTTGACCCCTGTTACTATCTTTCCAGACTTAAAAGTTCTTCTTTATCCTAGGTCTTTTAATGAAAATATTTCTCTATACTGTATCCTATATTGTATTATTTCCTTATGTCTTTTGGTATTCTGGTATCATCCCCCTCTCAGCTTCCACTTACCTTTTTAGCTTTTTGGGTCACACCTGGCAACGCACAGGGGTTACTCCTGGCTATGCTGCACTCAGGAATTACTTCTGGAGGTGCTCAGGGGACCATATGGGATGCTAGGAATTGAATCCAGCAATCAATTTGGATTGGCCACATGCAAGGCAAACGGCCCACCCACTGTACTATCGCTCCAGCCCACCCCCAAAATAATATATTTTTTTTTTTGCTTTTTGGGTCACACCTGGTGATGCTCATGGGTCACTCCTGGCTCTGCACTCAGGAATCATTCCTGGCGGTGCTCAAGGGACAATATGGAATGCTGGGAATTGAACCCGGGTTGGTCGTGTGCAAGGCAAACACCCTACCTGCTGTGTTATCACTCCAGAAGAACTCACCCCCAAAATATTTATAAGGAATTATTCCCAGGGCCTGATAGTACAGAGGCAAGATGCATGCCTTACATGTGGCTGACTCTCCCCCCCAACCCCATCACTGCCTACTGTCCCCCAATTCCTGTCAGGAGTGACCCCTAAGCATAAACCCAGGAGTAAGCCTTGAACATAGCCAATTGTGGTCCAAACCCCCCCCCCCCCCCCCCCAAATTTCAATCCTTAGAGCTGGGAAGACAATTCAAGGGCCAGGGGCACATGTACTGCATGCTTAAGGATCTGAGTTCCATCCCTCCAAGCACTGCTGGGTGTAGTCCTACAGGCCCACACACATCCAGGGTAACTCTGATGCCCCCCCACCTCTACTGCCCAGTCCAAGAACTGAAGTAGTAAAGCATCACCAGACCCTAACACTGACAATCTGTCCTGTCCGTCAAATATCACCAGCAGCATCTTCACAGAGCATGGTTTAGGAGATCTCCACCAAAAAATACTCATTTCTAAGGGTCATGGTATCTTGACTGAAGTGGTGAGCTCATGCATTGCATGTGTGAGATGCTGGGTTTGATCATTAGCACTGCATGGCCTTTCAGGCACCACTTGGTGTGGCAAAGAAAAAAATTCTGTCTTTTTTTTTTTTTTGCTTTTTGGGTCATACCCAGCGATGCACAGGAGTTACTTCTAGATCATGCATGCACTCAGGAATCACTCCTGGCAGTGCTCAGGGGACCTTATGGGATGCTGAGAATTGAACCCAGGTTGGCCACGTGCATGGCAAACGCCCTACCCGCTGTGCTATCACTCTAGCCTTCCCCAAATTCTAATACTCTTTTAACAACACTCTTTTTTTGGGAGGGGTCACACAGGGTGATGCTCAGGGGTTACTCCTGGCTCTGCGCTCAGGAATTACTCCTGGCGGTCCTTAGGGGACCATATGGGATGCTGGAAATCAAACCCAGGTCAGCTGCATGCAAGGCAAACGCCCTACCTGCTGTGCTATCACTCTAGCCCCCAACAACTCTTTTCACATTCATTTTCAAACTTCTAGACTAACAATGTAATAGGCAGAACAAGTATTTGTGTAAACACTAAATTTAGTTTGAAGGCTGCAGAGATAGTCCAGTGGGTAAAGTGCTGTCTTGCACACAGTTGGACCAAATTTGATTCACCACAAATGGTACACTAAGCCCTGTCAGGAGAGATCCCTGATCACAGAGCCAGGAGTAAGAGGATAGCTCAAACACCCTTCCTGAAAAACAATTAAAAAATAGATATTTGTAGTAGCACTGTAGCACTGTCCTTCCATTGTTCATCGATTTGCTCAAGCGGGCACCAGTAATGTCTCCATTGTGAGACTCACTGTTACTGTGTTTGGCATATCAAGTACGCCACAAGGAGCTTGCCAGGCTCTGCCGTGTGGGTGGGATACTCTCAGTAGCTTGCCAGTCTCTCTGAGAGGGACAGAGAGAGGAACTGAACCTGGGTCAGTCACATGCAAGGCAAACGCCTTACCCACTGTGCTATCACTCCAGCCCAGGTATTTGTAGTAACTCAAAAAATAATAATTATGGGGCTGGAGCGATGGGACAGCGGGTAGGGCATTTGCCTTGCATACGGCCAACCTAGGTTCTATCCTCACCATCCCATATGGTCCCCCGAGCACTGCCAGGAGTAATTCCTGAGTGAAGAGCCAAGAGTAACCTCTGTGCATTGCTGGGTGTGACTCAAAAAGCTGAAAGTAGACTATAGACCAAACATGATTGCCACTCAATGCCTCTTTTGCAAACCACAGCACCCAAAAGGAGAGAGAGAACAAAAGGGAATGCCCTGCCACAGCGGCAGGGTGGGATGGGGGAGATGTGGTGGGAGGGATACTGGGATCAGCAGTGGTAGAAAATGGGCACTGGTGGAGGGATGGGTACTCTAACACTGTATAATTGAAACCAAAGCATAAAAATCTGTAAGTCTACAACTGTACCTCATGGTGTTTCACTAATAAAAATTTAAAAAAATAATAATTATTATGTAAAGTCAACAAAAGACAAACCATGGTTGATCCACACATGGGAACAGTACACAAGAGTCAAAAGGTGAACCCTAAGGAGTAGTAAGTCCTGAGAACTGCCTAGTGTGGCCTCCAAAAATAACAGGGGCCAGAGCAATAGTACCGCAGGTAGGGCATTTCCCTTGCACGTGGCTCATCCAGGTTCGATCCCCCGCATCACATATGGTCCCCTGAACAACACCAGGAGTGATTTCTGAGTGCAGAACCAGGAGTAACCCCTGAGCATCACCGGGTATGACCAAAAAGAAAAAAAATTCAACAAAACAAAAAATATATACAAAAATAAAAGTAAATACATATCTATAAATCTATAGCCCATATATACGTAAAGAAATCCATGTCAAATACCTTTCTCATTTCTCTAGATGATAATGTTCCCTCTATTCCCAGTTTCAATAATTAAAAAAAATCTTCGATTTATAAAAAAAACACTTATTTATAGGGTGGCAACATATGTATGTCTATATATGTATAATACACACACATACACATATATATGTATATATATGAGCGGGAGAGATTGTACAATGTGCTTGCCTGTCCAGTGGGTCCAGTTTAATCCCTAGTACTATACATGGTCCCCTGAGTACCACCGGGTGTGGGCCCAAACCACCTCCCCTCAAATAAACTAAAAACAACAACAGCAGCAAAACCACTGAATAGATTAATAAGGTTGAGATAGCTCAAAAGGTTGGAATGTTTCCATATAAGAGCCCTCATGGACCTGTGAGCACCACTGGGAGAGCCTTCCAGGGCACCTCACTGGGACAAGTTCTTGAGTTTTCAGAGCATGGTCCCAAAACAAACAAATGAAAAAGTAAACAACTCCGCTTAATTAGGGGTTAGGATGTAGGTTCAGCAGTAGAGAACAAGCTTCCCTGTCTGAGGTCCTGGGTTACTGAGGTCCCTTACTACCCCATCACCACCACTTACTACCTCATCACTACCACTTGAAAAAAAAAAAAGGCTACCGGAACTTTGTGTAAGGGTATAAAAGGAAGCACGGAGAGAAAAGCACAGAGAGCATGGTCATGTAACCCAAAGTTACCTGAACAATGGTGAATCCAGATCTGAGAATAATATCTTTTATTTCCTCCTCTTTGTCAACAATATCTGGTTTGATAATTGCCAGAGTTCTTTCTATATATATCTGAGGTGGCAGCATTGATAGCTCCATTCTGCCTTTTCAGAGAACAATTAGATTTCTTGACTGGTATCAACTGCAATGACAAGCATTCCCCCACCCCAATTAAATGAAATAGTAACTGAGAATGGAATTACTGGGTGTTTTGATTTTTATTATACTTAGAAAGAGGTATCTTTTTCTATAAAGTAGTGTCTTAATAATATTATAAATTAGACTCCACATCCTGGGTTTTGCTAAGAGTCTTCATTCGGGTTAAGAACTAAGTTGGAATTGATGTAGACTTCGGGCCGCAGCAAGACAGAGGGCAGCAACTATGCGCCGCAGGGAGGAGTCTCTCCCCACCCTCTATCAGGGGGGCTGACACCAAGGCTATGCATTAGGTCAAACCTCCTTAGAAAGCTGGGTTCCTGCTGCAACAGTGAATTCCGAATTCCGAGTCTGAGCCTCACAAGGGAACTCACCTGAGCGCTCCTCTCTCTGTGCGTTACTGCTTTTGTTGCTAAGAGACACAAAAGCAGCCGAAGACGGTGGCTACAGAGGGCCAATCCAAGCAAGTGCACTTCTCAGCCTGTGATCGCTTCCTTTAACTAAGAGAGGGAAGGGCCAGCTACAAGCATGTTTTCATTCTTCTGGCGAATTTGAGGGGTACTAGATGTTCCTTTCTAACGTTTTCTCACAGTTTATCTTATTTCATCCTCCAACCCATTTGATGGACACTTCAATTATTTCCATGTTATAAATGATGAGACAATCCCTTATTCCACCTCATCCCTTCTGACATCTATATAAAGAAATCCATGTCCAATACCCTCTTTATTTCTCTAGAGGATGCTGTCCCCTCTATTCCCAGTATCTATAGTCATTAAGAAAGAAGTTTTTGACTCATTAAATAACATTTATTTATAGGGTGGCAATAAACAATTTCATCAGGTTACTTTTAAGCCCCCGGAACAAAAATGTAACAACAACTTAGGGCATGACCCAAAATCTCAGCTTTCCCCAATTTTACATTATGTCCATAGGCATCTTTGGCTTCTTGGTTGTGAGGAAAGGCACAATTCTTATTAGGAAAAACCACAGACGTGATAAACAAGTACTGTGATCTTCTGTGGATCAGTGTTTCAGTGAGAAGTGCAAATTCCAGAAGAGCTCAGAGTAGCAGCATCAGAGTGACAAAATTTCCCCCTGGGTTGGTTGGATCTCATTCCAGACTACTTAAGTCTCTTCTTTTGTCTAACCAAATACTCAGCACCTACAGGTTAAAGGCAGATAGCAAACTATAAATCCTAAAAACTATACAAGTTTGAATGCAATTTTATTCAAAGGGATTTGACTATGCTTTTTTTCCCCTTTAAAGTATGATGCTGCCCAGAGAAGAAACCTTCAAATGTCTTCTTCTGGTTGCTATGTCTTATTCCTTATAGATGGAACAGCAAGAACATACAAATGAGAACCAACAGGTATAACAAACAAATGGAAAAGGACAAAGGACAGTGACTCCTCTGGGGCCAGAGTGACAGTATAGTGGGTGAGGTGTTTTGCTTTGCATGTGCTCAACCCAATTTCAATCATTGGCTTCCCACATGGTCCCCTGAGCACCACCAGGAGTGATCCCTGGGCTTAGAGCTAGAGCCAGGTATGGCCCAACATACACACACACACACACCAAAAAAAAAAAAAAAAAAAAAAAAGAAAGAAAAAGAAAAAAATAAAATGGACAGTGACTCCATTCTCTAGGGTTTTGCATATTCAGTCCTCTGATTGGAGGCTCTGGAAATAGAAGTGCCCATTTCTTATCTATCCTAAACCCTCTTGTGAGCTTTTTTTTTTTTTTTTACTGCTGCCTTTCTTCCTAGACTGCTTTACTATCCACTAAAGCCGGTCCTGCTGAGCAGCAAACAGGCATGTATAATGTCAATCATTCAGGGCCCTGAAGCACTTCTAGAACAAATGCTGAACACACAAGGTCTCTTCAAAGTCACCTCCATATTCATAGACTTTCTAAATTCAGATTCTAGAAGTTATCTTCCTTTTTTTCTTGAAGCATTCTACAAATAGTACCTGAATCTGCTCCAAGACTTCTTGCTGCATCTCTACAGCCATATGGTACACATGATGATCAGAGTCATTGTACATCACGGCATTTTGGAACATCAGCATCAGGTCCCGCTGGAACTGAGCCATTGTGCGAATCCGTCCCTTAGACAGATTCCTTTTCAGGCTAGTTAAGTCCATGGGTCTATGGGAGGCCAACAGAAACCAGAGGAAATCAAACCTTCATGTGGTGCATGTGACCTCTCATGCTCTCTTATAGAACTAACCAGGTTGTTATGAAAACAATAATGTTAACATTCCCCATCAGGTAACAAAATAGCAGCAGGAGCTCACATTTGACTGCTTACAATAGAACTAGGAATAAATATACTAGGTACATTCTATATTGTACCTACCTAGTATATATTGTAAAACTCACTCGATCCTCTCAATAAATCTATATCCACTGACATCAAGGAAGCTGAGATCTAGAGGTTAAGTACTTGCTCTCACTCACACAACTTGGATTCCAATTCAGAGGCAGCCTGACTCCAGAGCCTATATACCCAGTTACTTCACTCTGAAGTGCTAGCCCCAAGTAGCAAAGTTTCAATGATCAGTTTGTTACACGGCAGTTAATGACTGCTTATAAAGTGTTGTCCATATTAAGTACTCAGTCTACTCCTTTTATCGCACAAATCAAGAGCCAAGATATTTTTTCTCCTTGCGTGCAGAAAAAAAAAAGAAAATATTCTGATAAATTATGATTTAATGAGACAGAAAGTGGGTGATAATATAGGTACAGTAGTGAAGAAAGAGAACTGAACTTGGAGGAAATAGTCTCGGATTTAGTTCTAGCTCTACCAATCACAAGCAACTGCTGACCACCTCTAAACCTTAGCTCCTCATCTCTAGAATGAAGAAATGTTTCCCAAGGTCTTTTCCTGATGCTTTAGACTCTATTAACATAATAGTTTATAACAGAATTTTAGGTGACAAAAATCCAAAATACTGCAATTAACCAATAATTGTAACACCCCCCCTGATTTCCTTTGCCTCAGCATATCATTCCTTCATGTCTTAATGACGAGTGTTTCTTTTGAAAGATTTTCTGCAAAAGAACAGTGTCAAAAACTACCAGAAGCTAATATAAAATTATAATTAATGAATCATGTTATTTAAATGTCAATACTTTAAACCCAAATTATACTTTGTTCCCTGCATTTATTCTCAAAAGGAAACTAAGCTCAACAACTTAAAATTCTGCAGATATACAATATAACTTGAAAAAATTTTTATATATGTATAACATAAATCCCCTCTCGGAGAGCCCGGCAAGCTACCGAGAGTATCTCGCCCGCATGGCAGAGCCTGGCAAGCTCCCCGTGACGTATTCAATATGCCAAACACAGTAACAACAAATTCTCCAATGGAGACGTTACTGGGCCCGCTCGAGCAAATCGATGATCAACTGGAGGGCCTTTTATAACATAAATGAAATAATCTAATATATGTGAAGTAAAACACGAAAAGATTATAAAAGCAATCAAACTTTCCTGGGACCGGAGACAGTACAGCAGGCAAGGTATTTGCCTTGCACACAGCCAACCTGGGTTCAATCCCTAGAATCATCTATGGGAGTGATCCCTGAGTGTAGAGTCAGGAGTAAACCCTTAGCAACACTGGGTGTGACCCCAAGCCCAAAACAAGTAAATAAATAAAAGGAACCAATTTTTTTTTTGGGGGGGGAGGAGAGTCATAGCCAGCAATACATAGGACTTCCTGGTTCTGTGCTCTGGGTCTACTCCCATATGGGAAGCAGGGGACTGAACCCAGGATGACCACATGCAAGCCAAACACCCTACCTACTGCTATTATAGCTCTAGTCCTCAATGTACCTTTTTTTTCAGGGAAGAGGGAGGGAGATGCTCAAGGATTACTCCTGGTTCTTCACTCAAGAATTACTTCTGGTGATATTCAGGGGACCATATGGGATGCTGGAGATGGAACCCAGGTCAGTCACGTGTAAGACAGATGTCCTACCCATTGTACTATCACTCCAGCCCTCTCAACCAACTTTTTTAGACCCCCTTTTTTCACTGACCTTTTCACCACATCCTTGTACCCTGGGGCCTGCCTTTCTGACACAGGCTTCAGAAATGGACTGCTGAACCTGTTAAGGGATAAACCCAGAGAAAATGAAGAAACCCTGGATGCAACTCTAAATAAGAACTGTGATCATGAAGAGAACGAGTGGTTTAGAGACCTACCTGTGACTGGCAATCATCTTCCAGACAGGCAGGAGAGTCTTCTTAAACAGCAAGTGATCCTGGACAGGGTCACTCTGGCCTAGACCAGATCTATGGAATAAAACAGGGCAGAAAAGTAACAGTGATGTAACAGTTTTCTGTCGCTCCAAGATGGGTAAATTTTCTCAATACTTAGTGCTTAGTTAGCGACTGAAGGACAATATCAAAGGAATAACTGTATAAAGGTGCTTTTATAAAGATCCCCAAACTCGAGGTGTACTCTTTTACTGAAAACAAGCAATTAGGAAGCCGGAGAGATAGTACAGTGGGTAGGGTGTTTGCCTTGCACTCAGCCAACCTGGGATCAATTCCTGGCATCCCATATGGTCCCCCAAACACTGCAGGGAGTAATTCCTGAGTGCAGAGTCAAGAGTAATCCCTGAGCAGCATCACTGGGTGTGACCCAAAAAGAAAAAAAAAGTGGTAAAGAAGTGGTTATTGTCCTGTGAATCACACATCTGTCTATGCCTTGTCTATGTCCCTCTGGGCCAAGGTCTTCAGCACTTGTGACTCTAAAATATACGATTTTAAGGTTTGTCCAGAATTTCCCTTTTTTACCTTTTGATTTTTTGGGGCCACACTTGACAATACTCAGGGCTTATTCCTGGCTCTGCACTCAGGATTCACTCCTGGTGGTGCTTGAGGGACCATATGGGATGTCAGAGATCGAACATGGGTCAACTGTGTGCAAGACAAGAGCTCTGACTGCTGTGCTATCCTTCTGACTCCATCATGACCCCTTTTAGTCTGAAATTTTTGTTTTGTTTCTGGGCCACACAAGCAGTGCTCAAAGCTTACCAATGGCTTTATGCTCAGGGGTTACTCCTGACGGGGCTTGGAGGACTATATGGGGTGCCAGGGATTAAACCAGGGTCAGCCGTAAGCAAGACAAGCACCCTACCTGCTACTATGTCTTACTCCCCCCTAATTTTCATTTTTAAGTTCTAAGTTCTAAAATAAGATGGATGGGAGTATCCTGAAGAGGTAGTTTACTGGCTGGACCACATGCTTTATACAAGGATCCCTGGATTTAAGCCCTGGTATCCAGTGGTCCTGAGAACACTGCCAGGAGCGACCCTTGAGCAGCAATCCTAGAAGAGGCACTCAGCACGATATTTCTGGCTCAGTCGCAAAACCCAGCTGCTAAATTACATAAAAATATACAATTTACCATGGAGGCCATCTGAAAAGCCCTAAAACAAAATACCCCAGATTAGAGACGTCCTGTTTTTTTATCATCTGCCAGCCATCTGCTCAGACTTGGAGTCAGAGAAAGGCAAAGGAAGCACCATTCTTCAACAACACAGGTTAAAGCTGTACTATACAGTGTAGCAAAGAACTAAAATTACTTTTTTTTTAAGGCATGGTCTTCTAATTGTATTCTTAAACAAAAGAAGGCTAGAATAATTATCAATTTGCTAATATAGGAAGATCTGAGGTGCAAGAAGGGAAAAAACCCAAAACCATTCTTGCTATCTTCTCTTAAAAGATAGGTGTTTTTAATACCCCCAAAATAACAATTAATTTAGCATAATAAAAATGATTTTTTGGATTTAAAAGGAAATTTACTCAATTAAAAAGAGTAAGATTATAAAATGTGTCTTTTATACAGCCAGAAAGATGATGCAGGGGTTAAAGCACTTGCCTTGCATGCAGCTGACCCGACTTTAATCCCTGGAACCACAAATAGTCCTTTTAGATCTATTCCTGAGCACCACCAGGTGTGGCACCAAATCATACCCACCCACCCTCAAACAAAATAAAAAAGGACCAAGGAGATAGAAAGGAGGTAAGGCTTGTCATTAGCAGCAATGATCATTTATTTGTTTTAAATCTTATTTTATTTATATATTTTTATTTGCTTTTTGGATCACACCCAGCAAGGCTCAGGGTTTACTCCTGGCTCTGCACTCAGGAATCACTCCTGGTGGTGCTCAGGGGACCATATGGAAAGTTAGGGATCGAACCTGGGTCGATCAAACCCTGGTTGACTGTGTGCAAGGTAAGCACCTTCTCTGCTGTACTATGGCTCCAGCGCCCAGGAATGATAATTTATTAAAGAGGCAATGTTGATGAAATAGAACTACTTCATAAGAGAACGAAGACCTCTAGTTTTATAGTAATCACGGTCACGGTCCTCCCGCTGTTCATCGATTTGCTTGAGCGGGCCCAGTAACGTCTCCATCATGAGACTTCTTGTTACTATTCGATTCCTCCGCCCCTCTCGGAGAGCCCAGCAAGCTACCGAGAGTATCTCGCCCTCATGGCAGAGCCTGGCAAGCTACCCGTGACGTACTCGATATGCCAAACACAGTAACAGTTTTATAGTAAAGCAATACTTAATTCCTTTTTTTTAGTGTTTTTCATTTCTTTACTTTTTTTCATTTACAAAAATAACCCACATTCACTGTCACTGTCCTCCTGTTGTTCATCGATTTGCTCAAGCAGACCCAGTAACATCTCCATTTTGAGACTTGTTACTGTGTTTGGCATATCGAATACGTCACGGGTAGCTTGCCAGGCTTTGCTGTGGGGGGCGAGATACTCTCGGTAGCTTGCCCGGATCTCCGAGAGGGGCGGAGGAATCGAACTCGGGTCAGCTGTGTTGGCTGCATGCAAGGCAAACGCCCTACCGCTGTGCTATCGCTCCAGCCTGACCCATATTCACATTAACAAATCCAAATAGGCAGTATGAATTGTAACAACCTTGTGTAAAAATCTACACTTACAGCTTCGAGGAGGCAGCACGGCTGAGAAGAATATCCATGAGAGGCGTCTCCTTAAGGCTGAAGGTGTCATCACCAGAAGACTGATCTTCCATCTCTGACAGAGACCCTTCCCCCAGGTACTCATCTCTGGCTGTGCACTCAATCTCCTCCTAGGAATGCCAGAAAACAAAGGTACATTTGGAAAGAGATTTATAATCTGCACTGGATTTTGTTTTCATGATATAAATGAAGATGAGGTGAGAAAGGTGATTTATATAGAGTTATATAAAAGCCTAGCTGGAAAAGATAGTACAGCAGACAAGGTGCTTGCCCTTCATGAAGTCAACCTGGAGCCCCACATGCGCCCCCAAGACTCACCAGGAGTGATCCTGAATGCAGAGCCAAGAGAAACTCTTCATTGCTGGGTGTGCCTCCCCCACCAAAAAAAGATAATAATAATTGCATATTTTAGGTGAGGGAGTGAAAAAAAGTATATAATAAAGAAAGATTATTTAACCAGACTTAATTGATTTTTGGAAAAAATTATGCTAAAAAATTTTACTCTGCACCTGAAGAAAAACATTAAAAAGCAATATACTCACTTCTAAATGAATACTGCATTTTTTTGACACACTCAGAGGTGGTAGGAGTTAGCAAGGCATTGGGGACTGAACATACAGGGCGCCCGCAGATGAATGCCAGTCCTTTGAGTTCTCTCCCCAGTCCCTAAATACACTTTTTTTTTTGCTTTTTGGGTCACACCCAGCGATGCACAGGGGTTACTCCCAGCTCTGCACTCAGGAATTATTCCTGGGGTTGCTCAGGGGACCATATGGGATGCTGGGAATCAAACCCGGGTTGGATACATGCAAGGCAAATGCCCTACCTGCTGTGCTATCGCTCCAGTCCCTCCTAGATACACTTAAAAAAAAAAATCATCTTATGAATTTGTGATTGCTGCTCGGGAATAAAGCCACATCACTGACCATTTTATATGTTTATATATATGTTTTATCTATATGTTTATGGGCTAGAGCGATAGGACAGTGGCAGGGCATTTGCCTTGCACGCAGCCAACATGGCCAACCCGAGTTTGATTCTTCCGCCCCTCTCTGAGAGCCCAGCAAGCTACTGAGAGTATCTCGCCCGCACGGCAAGAGCCTGGCAAGCTACCTGTGATGTATTCGATATGCCAAACACAGTAACAACAAAGTCTCCCATGGAGACGTTACTGGGCCCGCTTGAGCAAATCGACGAACAACGGGAGGACAGTGACAGTGACAGAATATGTTTATATTATCTGTTTGTCTATATTACTTATATGATAAACTTATATATTGTATATTAATATTATATATATTAGAGGGATTTGGGGTCACACTTGGAGGTTCTGAGGGTTACTTCTGACCTTATGTTCGGGGTCATACTCAGTGGTGCTTGTGATACTGTGTGGTCCCAATTATTAAACCTAGGCCTCCCACAAATTAAGCATGACCTCAGCCCTTTGAGTTATGTCTCCAGCACATACTCTCTTTTTTCTGCTATGCTGGGGATTCAACCTAGACCTCATGAGTGTAAAGCATGCATTTTGCTGCTGAGTAACATCATAGGCTTTGGTCATTATCATCACTTATAACCTTGAGGCTAAAAATTAGCTTGCGTGACTGGACAAATAATAACAGTATCATTATAAAGATTGATTGCAAGGCACCATGCCAAGTAACTGAAATGAAATGTCTCATTTCACCCTCAAAGTAAGGGCTGAAGAGAACTCAGGGGGCTGAGTACATATTTATTGAGAGGCTGAGTTTCACATGGTTCCCCAACACTGCCAGGCACAACCTTCAAGCACAGAGCTGGGAGTAGTCCCCAGGCACCACCTGTTGTTGCTCAAAAAAAAAAAAATGGTGCTGGAGCGGTGGCACAGGGGGTAAGGTGCTTGCCTTGCATGCAGCAGACTTGGATTCCATCCCCAGCATCCCTTTATCGTCCCCTAAGCAACACCAGGGGCGATTCCTGAATGCAGAGCCAGGAGTAACCCCAGGATCACCAGGTGTGGCTCCTTCCCCACCCCACCCCCCAAATTAAAAAACAACAACAGCAACAATAACAAAAATCAAATAAAAAAGTTTGCTTTATTTCAAGCATTCAGCAGCACTCAGGGTTTACTCCTGGAGGACTCAAGGGACAGTATGGGCTGCCAGGGATCAAAACCCAGGTAGGCGACACACAAGGCAAGCACCTTACCTGCTGTCCTATCACTCTGGCCCCTCAAATAAGAGTTTAGGGTACTATTGTCTTTTTCTTTTTTGCTTTTCTGGGGAACACCTGGAGGTGCTTTGGAATTACACCATTTGTAGGGCCCACATATAAAGTATGCGCTCCAGCCTTTTGAGCCATCTCACAGTCCAAACACAAAGCACCACTGTTTTATTTATATCAAGAAACTCTAAGTCTTTCATTTCCCCACACTACTTAAAAGGGGAGTTTTAAAATATTCAGTAGGCCTAGAGGAACTGTACAGTGGTTTTAGAGTAACTTGTTTGCAAGCATATGGTTTAAATTCAAATCCCCAGTGCCCTACATGCCCTGAGCATGATACAGGCAATCTGCTGTTTGAGATCAGCAGTTCTTCTGACTGTGATCCCAAAGCCAAAAATGACCTTCAACCACACCACAATCAGGCATGTGCCAGCACCACAATAAAAATGGGCACCACAACTAAAAAGATGTGTGAGCACTAGAACCTGCAAAGTCTGACTGCTGGGGTGCCCCTGAACTCTGTGGCAACCCCCAGTCAGCACCACGCCCATCACTGCGTACCGCAAACACCACAACCAGATTAATGCAGCACAAGCCTCAGTGAGCACAGTTTAACACGAAAGCACTGCAACCTAATGTGCAGTCCCAGAAAGCATAACTGAACGATAGTGAGCACCCCAGCCAGGCAAGTGTGTAATCCCCACCTAAAGCAACAAAGGGAAGGCAGAGTGAACTGGGACCAAAACCAGGACTTGGACACAGGTAACTGATCTCTGAAGTTCATGTGCTTGAACCACTCTACTCTGCCTGCCTAGGCAGACGACCAATCAGGTGATGGCTTAAATCAATCATTTACCTCTTCACTCTCTGTGGTTAATCCCTGAACTGGATAAATATCTGAGGGAGATGGAGCCAGCTCTGGCCTTCCATTTTCTCCCAGTGACTTCTCAGCTCCCAAGGGGTCTACCTTGGCTGGAAGCTCTTCTGTTTCTCTGCAGGGCTCCCCTTCTCCTTCAATAGCCTCGATTTCCCTTCCCTCTTGCCTGGTACCAGAGGGCGGGCAGCAGCCTTCGCTTGATTCTTTGCTGCTAATGCACAATGGCTCCATTAAATAAGCTACCTGCAATCATAGTTTACTATTAGATGAATACAAACACTCCATTTTAATAATGTCATGTGATTACAATGCAACTACATCTGAGATGGCAAGTAGGTTAATTCATTTACCTCAATTTTAAGAAAGGTTTTTGTATACATAGGCACTAGACATGCTGAGGACATAACAAAAAGGAAGACAGACATGGTTCTTGCCTCTTCAAGCAGTTTGTTCTAAGTTTTCACCCTAGGCGTAAATGCTGACTCCAAGTGGCTGTCAATTATTATTAAAAATACCTACTACTGGCAGAGAAGTGGTTTAACATTTTTGTGTTTTTGAAGCCACACTCAGTGGTGCTCTTGTGGTCAGAGATCACTCCTGGCAGGGCTCAGGGGACCATACGGGATACCAGGGAGCAAACCCAGGTCAGCTATGTGCAAGGCAAGTGCCCTACCCGCTGTACTATGGCTCTGGCTCAGAAGCAGTTAACTATGAATTTTTGCTGACACTGATCCACTTCTCCTGAATGTATACAACTGCAGGATAAATATAAACTGTTCCATTCCTTTCATTTGTTTCTCAGATCTTAACCAGAGTAATAAAACATTAAAACGGTGCCTGGAAGTGCAAATACATAGGAGAATCAAGTAGAATCTTACATGACAATGCAAAAATAAATGGCAAGCATACTCATAAGGGAGCACTATGTATAGAAATTTCACATCTAAGGTCTCAGCCTCCCTATGATGTACAGAAATTCCACATCTAATGCCTCAGTCTCCTATGACTTGGAGCTTTATGTTCAGTCCAAAAATATTTACTTACCACACAGTTGGTATCACTACCAAGGGCCTGGGCACAGCAATCAAAGTCCCCACCACTATGAAGCTTATATTTTATTTATATATTTATTTTTTTTGCTTTCTAGGTCACACCCGGCAATTCTCAGGGGTCACTCCGGGCTCATGCACTTGGGAATTACTCCTGGTGGTGCTAGGGGGACCATATGGGATGCTGGGAATCAAACCCGCGTTGGATGCCTGCAAGGCAAATGCCCTACCCGCTGTGCTATTGCTCCAGCCCCAGGAACTTCTATTTTAATAAACAATATTCAGAGCAGTAAAAATCTATATGGGTAAGCAAGCATTCTTAGAAATAATAGCTGCCCATTACCTCAGAGAGGAAGTGGAGGAGGTTGTGGCGGCTGACTTGCGCTGCCTCTTCCTGTGATTCCTCACTTCCTCCGTCCCCCACCAGCAGCTCACTAGGTTCTCGCCTAGGGCTGCTCTCCTCTAGTTCCTCAGCCCCTGGCTCCTCCGTTTCCCTCCAGCTGCCCACATCAAGGTCCAGACTGGATTCCCAGGAGCTGAAGAGAGATCTGCAGTCGTTGCTCAGCTCAGAGTCATTGGGATAATCTTGTTCAGAATCCAACCAAACCCACTCATGCCCCATCTGTAAATACAGAAAAAAAAAAAGCATTAACTTTATTCAATTATTTATTTTTTCAAGTTAATATTCCTGAGGTATTTCCATTGCTCAAGTTTGATAGAAAGATAGGAACCACAAATCTCTTTTCTATTCAATAGAAAGGATAAAAGCTGAAAAAAATTTAATCCATAAATGAAAATATTTTCATTATCGAGAATAAAGTAAAGCCCAAAGTCAATAGTATAACAGATATTACCAAATAAGTTTGGGTTTTGGACCACACCCAACTGTGCTCACTCCTGGCTCTGTGCCCAGGGATCACTCCACAAGGTAAGAGTCTTATCCCTGTACTATCTCTCCAGTCCCCAAATTATTTTTATTTGGATTTATCCTACTTCCAAAAAAAAAGAACTGAAGCACAGCTTGCTCAGCAGTGTTCTTCCATCCCAAATCATCCGCAAATGCTAGGCAATAACATTTGTGGGATAATTAACAATTTTTCTGGTTTCTTTTTTTTAACCTATTGTAGTCCAAATCCTGACCCTAACCTCTTACAAATAATTTCTTGCTTTCATTACAGGACGTGTTCCTTTCCCCTCTCCCCGCTCCCTTTATGCATGCACTTTTATTGAGCTACAGTCCTGGCCTTTCCTAATTCTGTTCCCTTTTGTAACTACTAATGTATTATCTTGTTTTTGCTTACTTTTTATTTAGGAACTCTAAAATAGCAACTTTGATCTTTTCAGTATCTCCCAGTTCCTCCTACCTTTACTATTTTATGCATTTTGGTTTCACTTGTCCAGGTATCCAACCCTTGGACAAGGTCTGGCATTTCCTTCAAATGAGTATTTCTGTACCTGAAATTATTTTTCTTCCTGAATAGCTCCATAATTTGCTCTCTCCAATTTCCTCACTTAGCATTTTTGTTTTGTAATACCAAGAAACACATGCAAGGCATGCAATCTACCACTGAATTACATCCCCAACTATTTTTTGAATCCTATTCCAACTTTCTGAAGTCTTTACTGCAAATAAGCAACAAGATTTCTCAACTTTTATAATTCCTCCATGCCTATCATTCGTTCTGATCAGTTTATTCAGTCTCCCTATCCAAGGATTTGGGGACCCTCCCTGTATCTAAATCCTATTAATCCCTTAATTACCTGCAGCAGTTCTCTAGTCCATAGTATGAATTTTAAGATAATTATATGCTGTCTTTCTACCCTCCCACATCTTCAACTTGGCTTAAATTCATACATCGCCTTTTCTACCAATCCAAGGCTAACTTCTTTAATAGACACTCTTTCTCAACAATCTTCCCCAATTTTAGGGCTTTATTGCTTAATTACCTGCATGTTTGTGGGTTCCTTTGGAAACACAGATTTGAATTTTAGGGCTACACCAAGCAGTGCTCTGGGCTTATTCCTTGCTCTGGGCTCAGGGATAACAGCTAGTGGTGCTAGCGACAGGGGCGGGGAAGTGTTGAAGGGGGATCCCCAGGTAGCATATGCAATGCTATAGATATAAAGACTACAAAGCCAGTACTTTAACCCCTGTATTCTTTCTGTGGCCGTGGTAGAAGTGAACCCAAGACCTCAATGTAATAATCTACCCTGGTATTGGGAGGATCCTCCCAGGATGGGAGATGCATGCTGAAAGCAGACTATAGACCGAACATGATTGCCACTCAATGCCTCTTTTCCAGGCCACAGCACCCAAAAGAAGAAAGAGGACAAAATGGAATGCCCTGCCATAGAGGCAGGGTAGGGATGGGGGGTTGGGGGGGTTGGAGGGATACTGGGATCAGCGGTGGTGAATGGGCACTGGCGGAGGGATGGGTACTCGATCACTGTATAACTGAAACCCAAGTACAAAAATTTGTAAGTCTACAACTGTACCTCATGGTGTTTCACTAATAAAAAAAATTAAAAAAAATATACCGAGCCATATCCCCAGTCCTGACATAATTTCTGCATTGACTTAACTCCCAACACCTTGTAAAACTTTTATCTTCCCTTAACATCCTAAGATTTATTTTTAAGTCAAAAAATCCCAATATTTCTAATATATTTCTTATATCTATTTTTCTCAAAAAGGCTCAAAATATTAGACAAATCATTATTTTTGCAGTGGTGCTTTGGGCCACACCCCAAAGTGTTTGGGGGTTGCTCCCAGTAGTACTCAGGGGTTTGGAATCTGCTGCATGCTTGGTAAGCACTTTAACCCCTTTACAAACTCTGTATTCTCTCTCCAACCCTAATTTCTATTTCTTTACAGAATTCCTAATTTTTTCTTTTTAAGAAAACTATTTTTACAATGATATTTTGTAAAGAGAACTATTTACAAGAGAACTTCGTTAACATTTTCTCTTTAAAAGATAAGCACTCTGTATGAACCAGCATCACAACCAAATTTGTACTAACCTGTATCATCGGAACACAGGGAAAGTGGGGGGAGACTCAAAACTAGTTCAGTTCATTGCATTTTTAGTTACTACAAAGGGTGGATAAACTCACATGAAAACTTATTAAGTGTAATTTAGTCTTCAATGTTATGATTCTAAAACACAAGAATCCTACTTAGAAATAGACAAAAGGTAAAGAGAAATACACTATCCTAGAAATCCCATCTGTAAAGAGAATATCAAAGTATGACAAATGTCCTGAGATAAAGGTAAAGGTAAAGGTAAAGGCCCTCCCGTTGATGATCGATTTGCTCGAGCGGGCCCAGTAACGTCTCCATTGGAGACTTTGTTGTTACTGTGTCTGGCATATCGAATACGTCACGGGGGGCTTGCCAGGCTCTGCCGTGCGAGCGAGATACTCTTCGGTAGCTTGCCGGGCTCTCCGAGAGGGGCGGAGGAATCGAACTCGGGTCGGCCATGTTGGCTGCGTGCAAGCTGTGCTATCGCTCCAGCCCTCTGAGATAAAAGTCAATGCTATTTATGATCACGCTCAATAATCATTTTTAAGCAATACCAGAGTTCTTACAATCCCAAGTTTTTCTAGAACAAAGTCAAATAGTCATTATGGGGCCGGAGAGAGAGTGTAGTGGGTACAGCATTCACATTACATGTGGCCAACCCAGATTCAATCCCTGGCATGGTCCCTCCAAGTACCACGGGGAGTAATTCCTGAGTGCAGAGCCAGGAGTAATCCCTGAGCATCACTGGATGTGGCTCAAAACATCTAATAGTCCTTAATGCACAATGCCATACATTAAAACATTACGAATCCAACCTTACCTTGAATTGTAGTAAATTTGTATTAGAAAACCATTTTCATGTTTGCGTAAATGATGAAACAAGTATACAGAAGAATCATAAATTTCTCTTACACACATAAAAAACACACAAGAAGCTAGTTTTTTTCTTTGTTTATTGTGTACACACACTTCACAGGTTTTTTCCCCCCCCCCTTAAAAATTCTGTACACTTCACATGACAGTACAAACTAAGTACAAACTAGCTACAATCTGCTAGCTACGTATTAGGACATTAACAGAGTCCATGATTTTTGCCCTAAAACAGGCAATTAGGTAACTCCAGCTCTCTGAGAGAGATCTTTCCAACTTTATCACATGGCCCAGGCTCCTTCTCTTCTGTGACTTCCACTTCTGGAAATGGGCCCACAAGCCCAAGCTCCATCTTATTTGCTTCTCTTTCAGGTTCAGCTCCAAGACGGTACTCAGAGACTTCACTTTTTCATCTTCATATCAGCTTCAATGGCACAGCGACGCCCCCTGGTTCCCCCATCCTAGATGACAGGCAGACAGAGAATGGGTGCATGAGTGTGTTGCTTAGGAGATGAGAGAATGTGCAACGAGAATATTGGGGATCTGGTTTCTTGGGGAGGGGGGGAAAGAACCAGCAGAAAAATCCAAGGAATGAGGGACTTATGTCTATTTTCCCACAGAGTTACTACTATCTGATAACAATTTGTGAGGAAACACAGGACAGAGTATCTGTTCCTGCCCACCACAGGGGTCAGTGGAGTTCACCCAGGGTCCCAGAGAATGACCATTAGTCATCCCACCCAGGACCCAAACCATGTGCAAGAGGGGGAAGAATAAAGAAGGGTGGGAGAGTGAGAAAGGGCAATGAAGAATGAATTTCTTGGCTAACATACCTGTCCAGCTGTAGGTCCCTATAAGAAAGGCCTTTCCTTCAGACTGACCCTGGCACTAGTTCCCTAGCACCTCCTGACAGCTGTTTTCCATGAGATCAGGACAATCAGAAGGCGTCTTTCCATCTGCTGTTCTCTCCCTGTAGCCCAGAGCTCCTTCCTCTTGCATTACTTTGCTGTCTTCAATAGATAAAGATCCTATTAACCAGCCTTGCAACAGCCAGCCAATTGCTTGGGGATCCAGTCACTGTTGCAGGCCAATAAGAAAGAATGGAGATTACAGTGTTCTGTCTGTGACACAGGCTGAGGTTTAAAGGCAAGATGAACTAGTGGACACTTTTGCTGGGTCAGCCTTTTTCATCTTTCATATGCAAGGCCTTTTAAAACTTTAGGATTATGAACACAACTTGCCTCTAAGGCAACAGTGAGAATAAAAATAACACCTTGCATTTGTGTAACACTTCATTTTTTCAACCCAGTTTCACACCTATTAACTCACTGTATCCTCACAACATCCCTGTGAGGTGGGCTGGACAGGCACCTCATTATATTAGCTATATCACACAGAGAAGAAAACAGGTGGCAAATACTCCGCTGAGCACACTCATTGGGTTTTTTTTTTTCAGTGGGTAGAGGGACACACCCAGTGGTGCTCAGGGGACAATAAGGGTGCCAGGGTTGAGGCTCCCACATGGAAAGCATGTCCATTCCTATAAGCTAATTCCCTGTCCCCATCACTGGATTTTCTATCCTAATGCCCCCCTTCAATATACATCATGTCTCAAGTCCTCATAATAAATAAAATTAGAAATTTTTTTAATTCATAAAGGAAAAGAATACAAGTCCTTTGGTTAGTTTTACTAAGTCTTACTAAACATAACTCTAAGCTGCTACTGTAGACAGTAGTCACGGATAATGGGATCTTTAAGTTTTTACTCAGTATCTGTGTATCAAGCATCAATCTTGTAATTTACTATTAGAAGAGAAAAAACTGTATGCTAAGCATATGAGGCATATGAGGAACACTTTCAAAGTAAGCAAGCTATGGTAGATACTGATCTCTAACAATCTTGTGTTTACAATAAATGGCAAAAGGTGGAGTCAAAATTGAACAAGTATATCCTAGAACCTTACAAGAATACCTCATTTCAACCCACTCATCTCAGAAATACTCCCTAACGAGCCCACACACACACACAAAAGCAGAAAGAACAGGAATGCAGGCGAGTTTCTTACTCGATGGCCTGCATAAACAGAAGTTCAAGACATTGCCAGGCTCTGCATGCTGATTTCCTTCCGCCACCCACCCCCAGCAGGAGCTGAGAATCTGTGGCAACACCATCCCTTGCAGCCATTCAATACTTACAAAGAGAGAGAGAAGGAAGGCAGGAGAGCCCATGGGGACACTGTCCTGTTAGAGGACAAACAAACACTGATCAGGTTCCACGGAAACTCTCAGCCACAAGCACCCCAAACCTCAGGACAGAGACAAGCACCACACACAAAGACAAAATTTTAAAACTCAAGAAAATAAGAAGAAGAGAGATCCAAAAGCGATTTGGCAATTATGCTGCTGCAAATAGGAACTGATGGTCCCCAAATGCTTCAAGCTAAGTCATTTCCCCCACCTTGCAAGCACTCTCCCAGAGGAATTAATAATTCACTCACTCACAATTCCTCCCATGTGACTTCTATGTTCAGATGGGAGCAAACGACCACCATTCTAAGATCTATGTCTGTACACTACTAAGATCTAGAAGCCTCGGAATACTAAGCAATAATGTAAGATTCCATGGATGCTTCAGACTTCTAGCACTGACACATATACTCTTTCTTGGTCTCCTCACCTTCTCTGAAGCATCCTGTTTGCGGGTAGAATCTCTCCCTCGAAGACTTTTAGCACTTATCCCAGACTCGGATGTTTGCATAATCAACTGTGTGGCCAGGAATTGCTGTAGGGAGAAGAAATAGGGTTGGCCCTAGAAACTTAATCTAATAGGGAAAATTTAACTTGGAGGGTGGGGAGTAGGGAGGGAGGATGGGGCCGAAGGAGATTGGGCCATACCTGGCTGTGCTCAGGGCTTACGCCTGGCTCTGTGCTCAGGGATCACTACTGGCGATGCTTGGAGAACTATATGCAGTGCCGGAGATGGAATTGGGGTCTGCTGCAAGGCCAGCGCCTCACCCCTGTACTATCTCTCCGGCCCGGAAAATTTAACTTTTAGAGAGCT